AGGAACCAAACCCGACCCGAGCATATGTGAGATGAAAACTTTGCCATGCTAGTCACAGCCCCGGCTCCAGCTACAGCTCCAGCCATTGTTTTATCGTATCGAAATAGGGCGCCATGGCCCAACCCCAGGCGCGCTCCTATTACCCCTTAACTGTTTGGCTAAGGCTCCGCAAGACTGCAACAATAGCCGCCAGTCATTGGGTGTATAAAAAGTTACATATGTATATGTAGGCGGCCAAAACTTTCCTTGCCAATTGGTGGGAGTGGGAGAGGGCGTAGGAGTGGAAGTGGCAGTGCAAGTGGGAGTATGTGTATGGCCCAGGGGTCTTCAATTAATTTCATTTAGAGAGTGGCGCACAAAGATGCTCCCGGCTATTGCTAAACACACCCAAACAAAAGAATATACACACCCGAACACCCGAACACCCAGCCCCGGCATGCACTGCGGCCGGGCACATTCACAATATTTTCAATTAAGCTTGAACAATACCAGAGGAATAATAACAATTACAACATCGACAAGGCAGCCAGTGTGTGGGAGAATGCTTTAAAGGCAGGCAAGTCCGGCACTCGTAAAGGAGGCACTCGTGGTGTGGTATCCTCCCACCGTCCCTTCTTTCATATATTTTTATTTGTATGTTTCCTCTGTCTCTTGGATCGATAGTTGAACTCAATGCGTATGATAAAGTCAGGAAAAAAGATATTATAACATTTTCGCACTTAAACTGGACCTCATCTGGTTTTGCTTCACATATACTTATATATATTGAAGCCTCTTCCTAACCAATGCCAACCACCAACCATATCTAATCTGACTAAATTGTAGCTAACTTTGAGCAACCAACAGACAAAACATCTATGAGGGCAACTACTTGTGGTCTGGTGTTTGCGCCAACTGTTGTCCTCCGCCACTACATAGCCAATGAGGAGAGCATAGGGTGCATATGGTACATACATACATATGTATAATTAATAGCTGACAATGAGTGGAATTTGTTTGAAGAGTTGGCAGAGTTAGCAGAGAAGGAGGCAAATGGAATGGAATTGCCACAGCAGGCGTCACTTGATTCGATGCTAAATTCTTGTTCATTGGGGTGCATATTGTTGCTGCTGTTGTGCTGCTGTGCTGCTGTACTGGTTATGGTTATGGCAGACAAAAGTTTTGTATTGCATTAGTTCGGTCAAGGAATAATAATTAAATTCCTCCCAAAGCACTGGCATCCACTTATCTGCCAGATGCACGCCTCTCCCGTTGCTTGTACTCTCTCCAGCTACATCTGATGGATTCAGTAGGGGGAGTGGGGGGCCCAAAAATTATCAGTGTGCAATGCAACAATTTCCAATATCGAAATTGGCATGCTAATTGTGTGCACACCTCGTACGGTATGGGAAAGCAGCTGCTCAGCTGAAACAGAAGTTCAAGTTGAGCTTGGAAAGCTCTCGGTCAACACTTGGGCTCTATCAAATATTTATAGTACTCGCCGAGGTCATTAACATTCATTTAGCAGAAAAACAAAGCCATGAATAAGCAATTTAACAATTACAAAACAAATGCCCAAACAGGCGCAGACAAGGGGACGGAGAAAACGGACAGAACGGACAGACCGGACAGGTTAAACTTCCTAAGAAATTCCCCACTACAGTGTGTGTGAGAGACAAAAGAGTCAGCTCAGACTCGAGCACACTCCGGAAGTGCTTGAGATGAGAATAGAGTAGAGTCTCCAAGCCTCTCCAGTTTCAACTCAGAGCGGCAATCAGAGAGTCAACAGTTTGCCATAAAAAATGCTGGCAACCAGATACAAACTGCAATTCAAACTATGCACGTGTTAATTATTTATGCTCGGGTCCCAGTTCTCGTCCCCCCCCCCATCCCCACACAGGAGACATTCCACGCCCAACGCAACCCGATAAATATGCTGGCCAGGCCATAGGGAGCTATCGGCTTGTAAATTCCTTCCACCAAAAAGAGTTCCTCGTATAAATTATACAAATTATTATTTAACTTCCAGCTGCACAAGCGACTTGGGTTTCCAGTGGCTGTTGTTTTAACCCTGACAGGGGAGACTGCAAATACCCTTTCATAGAAAAGAAGCATGCGCGACTCTATGGGTAGATAACCATAATTCGATTACTTAAGTATAGCTGAAAGAGTATCTAAAGGTTCGACCTTAAAGTTAGCCTCTCCATGCTGCTGCTTCAGCGGTGTCCAAGAGTCTGGCGAGCTGGTTAAAGCAGAAGTTATGCACAGACAAATCGCTTATTTAGATTAGAGCTGACATCTGTGGAGGGGGGGCTAGCCAGAGCCAGAGAAGAAGGTGCGGATGCAGACGGCACGCAGGCGCAGATGCTTAGATGCAAGCCCTGGTAACTGGTTGGGCCAAGATCTTCATTCTGTGGCAATTTGCTGCTTCTACGGGAGTTGTTTGCTCATCTGCTGACTGCCCCCGGGGGCGTGTCGGTGTTGTTCAACCAAGTGTCTACTTAGGTTAAGCTTGGGTACTCTGTTTGGGCCCCTGGGCTGGCCTGGGCTAATGGCTGCTCCAGGTAATTGGCACGGGGAGGCAGGTGATCATTTTCAATTAGTGAGACCATCTGGGGCGTGAGTTATACGCTGCTGTGGGTAAGACGGTAGCAGATCGGGATTGGGATTGGGATAAGTGGGGTAGCATCATTTATTAAGTCATATTCAACGAACCAATGACTGGAAGCACTTACAGATTGTTGTTAGATTAGCGTTCGTTATAAATGAGACTGTATTCGCTAGTGGAGTGAGTTTCGGGGCTGTCTAGACTTCTGATTGCAAGGTGAAAAAAAAAAAAAAACGAAAGCCAAAGGTCTCTGCTACCATTTTACCTGACTGCGCATTTGTCATAATAAAATTAGCATTTGCCTCGGTCAACAACAGCAGGGCAGAGCAGCAGAGGCAGGGACCGTGAAACATAGTGCAGGACGAGACAGGCACAGGGCAGGACCTTGCAGGTCCAGAGCCCAGGATGCAGGCGAGACTTATCAGCGTGTTGACAGACCCACCAACCAACCCAGCAACCCAGCAACCTACGAAGGAAGCAAAACCATTGGGTCAGGGCCTAGGTTAACTTTTTTCCTTGTTGCTGTGCCATTTCTAATTTTCTTTCGTTGGGCTCTGTCATATGCCACGCCTTGTTTGGTGTTCTGAAATGGTTTGCTGGCTGGCCGATAAACAGGAAAGTACACTGTGAATAAAGTTGGCAAATATTTAAATGGGGAATGGAATGCAGATGCAGAAATAATTCTAGTCATGTTTTTTATTTTGTCTCTCATTCTAAGCTCTCAGATTTTACTTTGGGGAAAACTAAAATTAAATGTATTTGGTTTGAGAAGATTAATCTGATTTTTTAGCTAATTGAAATCAATCTCCGATGTCGGAGCTGGTGCTCTTAAGTCAGAGCTCAGATACTAACAAGTGAGGGCCACCCAATTTTCGGTCATATATATATTTATTTTCAGTGTAGTTATCAAGATGCAACTAAATACATGAAATGGCCAATTCAATTTAAATTCTGTTAGCCGGCAATCGATCTTGAATCTACTTGCAACTGTTTATCCTTTAAATGTGCATAAAATATACAGCAAAATGCTCCGAGTCCTTCGAACTCTCAACATTGTCGAAATACTTTGGTATTGCTGACTAAACGGAAAGAGTTTTGTATGTAAAGAGAAATCAAATCACGTACAGATTCCGTCCGTGGTCTAGCCAATATCTGCTGACCAATTTCACGCAACTGCAACAAATCAAAGAGCAAAATGTTGCCTCTGAGAGCAGCAGGAACAGCAGCAGTGGCAGCACCGGCAGCAGGACCATGCCCCAGTGCTAAATAAATTGAAAATTCTAAAATTTTAATAAAAATTGTCGCAATATTGCAATAAAATGATTGCATGATTGCTCGCGCCTCTTCCTCTGGCCTCGTCCATCCACATTCTGATTCTTAAACCCTCTATGGCCATCACGTTCCGTTCCTCGACTCGCTTGCCCACCGAATGCAATTGCATTTTTTCAAATGCCAACTGAAATACTATTTTTGATAAATGTATCTCGCTCCTCTCTGCCCCTCTCGGCCCCGCCCCCTTGGGTTTGTCGCGGTAGTGTGGCAGTTCAATGGAGGATTTTGTTGTTGCTATCACATGCACCACACTCTGGGCCAGGGACAGAGTCTGTGGCAGGAATGCTTGGTGTGACATTGTTTGTGTGTGATTTTGTAACTGATATTTAAATTGTTCAACTTAGTCAGCGACGTGTTTGTCTGCCACTGTCCGTCAGTAATCCAACTCGATTTTATTTTTTACATTTTTTACATTTTGCAGATTTCCTTCCTTTTGGGTTTTGCAATGTGGACATCGAATATTTAAAGTAAGTAAATTTTTAAATTGCTACACAATGCTGTTGAAGCAAAACTATCTTAGTATTAAATGAAGTGAGAGGTTTATTGTCTTGATATTTTTTTCTGTGAAAAAACTGCTGCTACTGACGTTTATTGTGCTTTAAAACCATTCAATAAAATTCTTTTTTTTCCCATACTACCCAAATTGATCAACATTTTAGATATGCTACCTCCTTGTTCCTTTGCCATACACTCCAACTGTATAACGCTTTAGAGGCTTTTTTTTTAGCCCACACAAACTATTAATATAATTGAATTTTGTACAATTTTAAAAGTGAACTATTATATTAATTGATAATATATATATGCGCTAGAGGATGCAAACACAGAGGGAAACGGAAAGCAATGTTTTTGCGGTGCTCGTTCGATTTTGACAGATACATAATTAGTTTTTGGAGAGCCAAAGGCCGCAGGTGTCGGGTCTGCTACAAACACTGATACACCCACCATAACATGTACATATGCACATTTTTGTTGTTGTTGTTGTTTAACAGTAAGAGCTATCTATGAGTATGGTCTGGGTATGGTATTTTATGGCTGTGGGGAATCGAATGAATTTATATAAATGTTTATGGATATTTACCTCGTGCGGCAGCGGCGCCAATGCAGAGGCTGACGAGCAGCAGGCGGCAGAGCCAACTGGATGTCCTTGTCGCCATTTTGTCGAGCTGCGAAAATGGCGGCATCTTTGGCGCCATTGCGTTTTGCTTTGCCAAAAAAATGTCACAACAGCTGCAAAGAGAGTGGCGAGAAATGGTAGAAGTGTTGAGATATTTTGCTGGAAATTCGCTGGCAGTTCTACGCGGGGCGTTGCCTCCGTTTCCGTTGGAAAAACCGTTTGATTTTTAACAGCTTCGAGTGAATTTAATGCACGGCATTTAGTTTCAATTAGTGTCCCTCCCCCCCCTTCTTTAAGTCGAGGCAATTTGTACGCGCCATAAAATTCAAATCAATTTCGCTAATTAGCAAAAGTCTCAAGTAATCAGAGAGATACTATGGGTCCCCTCTCTGTGCTCTTCTGCTGGCTGCCACAGCAAAATGAATTACCCTGTCGAGCAGGAAGCCAAGAAAAGCGAGCAGGAAGGTGCAATGCATGAGGAAATGTTCCCTTGTTCCCATTCAGTGCCAATGCTGCACACTTTTTTTTTTCCTGCTACTGCTGCTGCTGCAGCTGGGAGGCATCTTAACGCCTCGTTCGGTTTCATTTCCACAATTTCCATGCTCACATCCTTTGTGAGCTAGAACGCTTTCCCTAGCTGGGGGCCATTGTCTTGCTTTGGCTCGCCCTCACCATCGCCCACAAAGCCCATTTAATAAGTTAATTGTTACTACTGTTGCACTTTTGCCGCTTTTGAATTTATGATTAGCCACAGCCACCGCAGCGCGAAGCCAAGTGCTCAACTCTGCTTGAGGACTGGGTGTGGGCCCACTTCTAAGACGACTCTCCGTCCACTTTTCTGTCGCGGCTTGAACGCCTCTGTCTTGGTAAGTTTGCTTTAAGCCCGCACTGACATTCCACATAAATGTCAGCTGTGGTCCTGCTGCGCTTTATGTAGTCCGACTTTTATGCATTTCTAGTGCTTCGCTTCCTCTCTGATAGAATTCATGGCTGCCAACGACTCGACATAGTGCCGTCCCATTTCCCTGCCTCTATCCAATTCCGTTTTTCGCCCTCTCTCTCTCATCTTGGCCAAATGTCCTCCCAGTCATTATTGTCGTCTGCGTTTTTACTGGCTGTTGCTGCCTCTTTTTCTGCTTGTGCTGCTGCTGCTGCTACTGCTGCTCCACTGGCTGACTTTGTGTCAACTTCATAATTATAGTTTTCTGTTATTTTCTTATATTTTTTTTTTCGACAAAAAGTTTCTATGAGCAGCTCCTGGCCGGGCCGGGCACAGTGGATAGAAGTTGTTTGCCAAGTGTATGTATGAAGTTTCTGGTTATTGATTTGGTGTCCAATAAGTTTGTTTATATGATTATTTGTTAACTTAGAGATGATTGCTCGACTGTACATAAATGTTTGGGGAATTCATGGTATTTGCTCTCTGAGATTTCCGTTTCTAACTGGCGCAAAACTTTACCAACTCGAACAGAACTATACTAGCCCGGGGCGCAACTTTATTTTTCTCAGAAATCATAGTTCGTGAACCCATCTACTCTAGTATCAATCAAAATAAACTAGCTGTAGTCAGATTTGTCATCTACACTACCCCACATCATGCTTAGGAAACTACTGTACCTCCAGCATGACTGTACCCCAATCCAACCCACTGTTATTCCAGATACAGTTGCTCTACATGGAGCACTGCAGCAGCCATACACATAAAGCGGCGGCAAAGATTCTATTAACCCAAGAAATTATGAGAAATGAAAACTTATTACGAGAAGTCATTAAGATGCAAAGAATTAAAAACTTTAAAAAGTAAAACTGAAAATGAAGCAAAGTCAAAGCTTCTTCGCCATCGCCCTCGCTTTTGCCTAGCTGCTGATGGTGCAGCTTCTCTTTTTCTGTTTCTGTTGCTGTTGCAGCATCATCAACGGTGCTACGCGTTGGGGGCTGGGGGATAAGGGAAGCTGGGCGGCAGCCGTACAAAACTGTCGACGACTTATAACAAAGCTGAGAGAGGGGGAGACGGCAGAGACGGCAGGCCTGCGTCAATGGCAGCGCGCGCTTTTCCTTTTAAGTTTCAACTACTTCGGCGGCAAAGGAAAGTCATAATTGTTAATGGGCTTTCAGCTTAAACGAATTTTTACTGCAAAAATACATCTCTAGAGAATATATATATGTATGTAGTACGTGCTGCATAAAATAATGCAATTCTGTTTAAGTTTTAATTAGATTTTTAATATTTCGAATATGAAATATGGCAGGCAATAATTTTGATTAAAAAACTTTCGCTATATGCATATGATATATGTTGAATCATTTTTTTTTTGTTTATATGATATTTCATATATGGTTTTTTATATGTTTTTATATTTTTATTTGTGAGACCGTCAATCAGCCTGGTTGGTTTAATGAGCTGGCTATTAAGGCGGGGACAGGGCGAGGGAGCCGGCGCATCATCATTACGCAATGTCAGTTGGCACTTTTATCAATGTTTCCTGTCAGTTTCGAGAACTTTGCGCCACGTCAGAACGTCACGAGTGTCAGCGCCAGCGATTTTCATATTCACTGTGCATTTTTATCAGCCATTTGCCGACTCATTAAGCCAACGTCAATGCTCTTCTCCTGTCCGTCCGCTGCCATCCGCCTGCCTGCCTCTCTCTGGGCCCTGTTTTTGGCTCTGGTTCTGGCTCTGGTTCTGGCCCTGGCTCGGGCTCGGGCCCTGTCTCGGATGGATGGCTGATGGCTTGGCTGCATTTTAAAAACGTCACTGCCGATTGAGTTTTACATGCTTTTAATTGACGTCGTCATGTAATGAAATTCAATTTATACTGCACGCCATTAATAGTAATTCATACTGAAGCAATGTACCATCATCAGCAGGTAGTTTCCTACTCACCTGCCAGCTCCGGGACAGCTCCACTCAAGCCAAGTCGAGCCCTGACATGAATATGCAGCACGTGAGCAGACAGGTTCGTCGTCTGCCGCATCCGACCGAGTGTGAATGGGTTCAGCACGTCCGCATATGTACGTACCCATGCACATACATGTAGTATGTACATAGGTACAATATCAGCGGACAGAACAAGACAGAAGAATGCCATGCCGAAGCTCTTTCAAATTGAAAATGCGTAATGCCATTAGATGGCCGCATGTTTGCTACTAACATGCTCTCAAAATGAAATTATTCCCTTGAGATTAGTTCAGGAATTCGTATATGGCAGAATATGGCTTTGCTTGTGGTCTCTGGACTGGTGCTTTGCCTTTCTTCTCTCTTGGACATTTATGGCAATATACTTCTATATTTGTTAATTGAATTTAATTTCCCACGTGCAACAATGCAGCAATGATTCATCCATGTTAACTGAAACAAGAACTGGGATACAAACACCCCAGTTTAATTTTAATAGCCGTAACGCTGTCATCAGAGCCTCAGACAAAGTCTGAAAATTGGCATTTAATTACTTAGCCCAGTAGTCGCTCAGACTCTGGCAAATGCAAATAAGTGTCGAAGAAACAAGTTTTGACTTGCGAAATAAAAACGATTAGCAACCACTTACGGCTTTAACATTCATATTTAATTTAATGGCCATTTTGGAGCGGCTATCAGATTAATCTGTAAATCTTAAAGTCGCGTGCCACCCAAAAAAAAAAAAAATGTAGGTACTTATTTAATGACGAAGAAGGATCCGAGGCAGAGAAAAACAGACAGAATAAAAATCGAGTATCACGACTTCAATGAAAATTAAAAATCACAGCATGCATTCAGATTGTGGCCAAAGCATTTTAATTAAAGTCCGCCAGCGACACAACAATCTAAATTGTTTTCCATTCACCAAAATATTAATTGACTTTTCCGATGGTCGCCTGCCTCGGTCGCCGGGCCGAAACATCATTAACGTAAATATAATTACGTGACAATTTGATGGTTTTTCGCCCGCTCTTTGCCGTGCACAAATCACAAATCAAAAAGCGAAAAGCAAAATTAATTACACACAGCCTCAGTCCTAGTCTGCGCCCAGCCCCAAAACTCCAACAGTATCGGGCGTGCCGACCTACCCAAGGGATCAATCAGTCGCAGTCGAAAAGGTGAACAATAAAACGCTGCATGGCCAAATCCCGTCCCGACATTTATACAAACATGGACCAGGCCACGGTGAGTCCACTGTCCACTGTCCACTGTCCGCTGTCCGCCATCCACCATCCGCCATACACCATCCAGAATTCTCCCTCCATCGTGTCCAGTCAAGCGGGCAGGCTCAAAAAAAAGGGTCGACGACGCTGTTTAACTTTGAAAAATTAAAATCCACTTGGGTCCCACGAACCACCACGCTACCAGCCACCACCAGCCCCATCCAACCCGCGGATAGTCTCGCATTTTTCAATGGCCAAATAATAAAGTCCCCAAATGTCAGTTGGGAGTTATAATCTGTTTGCCGCTTTTTCACGGTCGCCATTTGACTGCCCAGAGGACCCAAGCGGCAGCAATGGGTATATGCGTTTGGTGGAGCCATTTTTCACAGTGCAGTAGGAACAGAAACAAAATATTGCAAACCAATTTACGGATACCCCAGCAAAATATGGTTCTGCATTAATAAAAAAAATCCTATATGGTGCTTCGCTTCTTGCCTGGTTCAACGAAGTATTTTTTCTTTAAACAATATCCAGGGTATTCCCCGCATCGACTACTCCCATTTCGTTGAATTTTTCGTGTTGTTCCTTCGTCTGCTTTGGGATTTACTGGTCTACTCGTGGTCCCTCCTACAATGGCGATTAAATGAAACGTAAATTTGCTGCAATTACGCGGGTAAATATGCATTAAAATAAATTTGCATGCAATTATTTTTGGCACATCAAAGTCTCATCAAATTTATCAAATTATCTTGGGTGCAGATTTGTTTGTTATTCTTTATTTTTCTTGGTTTCTATTTTTCTTTTTCCCCTTCGCCACACCCCTCCCGCTGCCAATGCCGACATCCTAATTACCAACTAAAACAACTGCAAATTAGTTGACTGACTTTGATGATGTCTGTGTCCCGTCCCTTCAATGAACCAATTTGTTTTGGGATCCGCTGAGGTGTTAATGCCACAACAACAGAATGCGCGGTGGGAGCATCTCGTTTATCAA